ATTAACTGAATTTTTTAAGAAACAGATTGCAATAGAAAAGCATATGAGATAAGCAAATTTATAAACTGAAAATGACAAGAAATTTCATACAATGGATGGATCTTAATTGATCCTGATTCAACATACTGTAGGAAATGTAGGTTGTAGCCGGGTGTGGTGGTGCATGCCTGTAAAGGCCGGAGGATTACTGTAAATTTGAGGCCAACCTGGTCTACATAGTGAGCTCCAGGCCAGCCTGAACTGCAAAACAAGATCTTGTCTCAAGAAAAAAAAAAAATGTAATTTGTGAGATAATTGGAAATTTGAGCATCAAGTGGATATTTGACGATATAAATAATTATTTTAAAGTGTAAAAATGGCATAAGGTTATGTTCTGCAAACTAGTCCTTAAATAATAGAGGTATAACATAAAATATATAATGTCTGAAATTTACCTTAATGTATGAGGCAAGGGAGCTGTGAATACATGTGAAGCAAGCACATCGTTGGTAAGTTGTGAAGCAGGATATTGGTAGGTTCTGAAGCAGGCTCTTATGTAAAATTAGGTTCTAGTTTTTCTACATTTATTCATGTTTGAAATTTTATATATTAGCTAAATCAAAATATTTGGGTAGTCGGCCAGAGAAAAACTACATTTCCCCTTTGAGACTGCAAATTTTAGAAAATGTCTCGAGTTACTCTCGCCATTCTTCATAAATGATTTTATCACTTAAAGTAATATAAACACAATTTAACTTCCTGTTAAGATACATAGAAGTTTACTGATTTAAAAAACATACATTTGGGGCTGGGGATTTAGCTCAGCGGCATAAGCACCTGCCTTGCAAGCAGGCAGTCGTGAGTTCGATCCCCGGTACCGATAAAAACGAAAAAGACAAAAAAAAAAAAAAAACAAAAAAAAAACATACATTTGATTGTGCATTCACAATTTCCAAGCAAAGATCTCTCAACTATGTTCACTTTCCTTCATTTTCAATTCTTCACGGATAGCTCAATTGTTTTTAAAGCTTATGCTTCTCTCTCTGGTATACAAGAATAAAGCAGCCCCTTGCCTACTCTATTTTCCCATTCAGCTATCTCTGTATTTCTCATCTCTTTCACAATGAAACTTCTCCAAAAATAATCAACTGTGGTGGAGATTTCTAGTTATAATCTGATATCCATGACTCTTATCCTCTTTAATATGGATTTGGACCATTAAACGTAAAACATACATTCTTGCTGCGTTAGTTTGTTTTATTTTGATTTCCTTTTTGTCAAATGCACATAATATCTGCTACTCACACTTGAAAGTGGAGAACTGAACTTGGCTCACATTTAGAGATTTTTGTGAGTAGTCAGTCAGCTCCAGGCAAGATTATCCCGGTGAAGGCACGGCAGAGCAGAGCTGCCCAGTTCACGACAAACAAGAAGCCGAGCAAGGAAGCATGCATGAGAGGAAGGGAACCAGGTATCACATGTAGTCCCCAGGTTCACACCTGCAGGACACACCAGATGCACCCAAAGTATACTTCACTAATTTCCTAGATATTTAATCCAATCAAGGCAGCATAGCAAGATTAATGGTCACATCTGCAAATGAGATATAGTAAAAATACCTCCTTTTGGCAATATATTTTAATTGAAGGGACAATTCTTTTCTTGTCTCTTCCTTCTTCCTTTTAGGTGGTATGTGGACAATATAGAGTCTAGCGATCATTTTTGTGCCACGTTGCGGCTTTGGCGAGTGAAACAATATGGAGTAACAAGATAGATGACAGAATTCTCATTGTTTTCAGGTCAAATATCTTGATTTACAAGAAAATCAAATCTTCATCTTGTCTAAACCACACTAGCTTTTAGTTTTTCTGCTCCTTCCAGTCAATACTCATTTTGGCAAATAAGTTTAAACTTATTACAGTTAAATCCTTACCTATTATCATACTTAACATACCCAACTCTGGCTTTCATTCATATTAAATTGATACGATTCTTATCAAAGTCACCAATGACATATCACTATACTCTCCATATGATATTGCCCAGTAAATTACTCTGCCTTATTTGTCTAGTTTTTCTATTGCTCTAGTCCAATACTACATTTTTTGTCACTAAAGACAAAGAATATAATACTTGTACAGCATTTGAATAACATGTTAAACTTCTTATGCCTAAATTTAACCAGACTAAAAGCTGTCTCTAAGCAAGCTACTCAGCCTTCTCAAGATACAAACGAACAAAAAAATCAATGTCATAAAAAAATACACAGCAAGGCTTCTCTATACCATAATGCAACAGCATGTATTCTGAGTAACTCAGTCCTGCTCACATGAGCTCTTTGTTTGTTCATTTAACTATTTCCTCAACATTCCAGAAATGTGAGTTTGAAGCTTTCCCTAATAATCATTCATGTGGTGATCATCTCATCTACTCCTACAGCTTGAATTAAAATCCATATGGTGGCAACTGGTGACTAAAACCTATCTACACACCTCATTTCTTTTCATGGAATATCAATCAGAAAAAAATCCAGATCCTTCCAAAGAATCGCCCATTAGGAATCATCTACGCACTCATGCTAAATGCATTATCATTACCCCAAAGTATTTGTCTTCTCTTTGCTGTGAATGTCTCCATTTTACACTCAGTAGCTGAAACCAGAGCCCTCAAGCGTCATCTTTTGATCTTTGCTTTTCCTCTCCTTTTCATCCCTCATCCGGAGATTCAAAGCAGTCTGTTTAATGTTCCCAGAGCAGCCAGATCTATTCTGAATAAGTCATACTGCGAGTCATGGTTAACTCATGCCATCCAAAGAAGAAAAACTTAATTTTTTAGTGTATAAAATAAGACATATGCACAGTTGTTAAACAGATCTTCAGGGTAGCTGCAGTATTTATGAATGCCAGTTAGCTAAACATTTTGTTACTCATTATGTCATTGTTGCTTTCAACAAATGAATCAGGAAAAACATTGATATTTCTATTTCATAGATAAAATACAGGTGCCCAGAAGAAAATGGAAATAAGGTAAAGAAGGTAAAAGAAGATAATGGAATCAACTACTGGCTGAAAATTTGTTTTATAAATGTGGAGATCTTGTCAGAATAGATAGTATTTTATTCCTGGGCCCTAGAACAGTGCCTGGTAACAAAAGCATAGCTTAATAATTTTTATTCAATGAATAAGTTACTAAGAATTATAAATCAATGAAGTCCAGAAGCCCATGTCTAGATTAGATTTAAATTTTTTTTTCACAACTACTGTTTTACTAGACTTTCACTATACGGTTGTAGAAAAGATTGATGCATTTATGGGTAAAGAGATAGAAAAGACAGTAAAAAAGAAAAAATGAAACAGGAAGAAAACAGGTAGACAGAATCTTTTTACCCATTCTATAAGGATTATTGTATGACATTAACAAATCACAACAGAAATAAATCATATAAATAATTAAATGCAAATACACACATTTCTCTGATGATTGTTCTAATAAAGTTAATTCATGCATTTTTAAGTCTTTACGAGTCAAACTATAACCTCCACACGCTTGAGGAGTCAGCATGGGGTTACATGTTTTTAAACACATTTGGATCATTGTGGAGCAGCTATTTTTTCATTTGTGTCTTAGTAATAACGAAGACACAAATATAGGATTTTAGTCAGTTAGTTTATGTTATTGAACTGAGAAATAGTCATCAGCCAATTTTAAAAAATGATCTTTTAAAAAAATTTACTGCTTGATATAATGCATTAACTGTGATTACAGTAAAATTACTAGTGGCAGATGAGTCATTTCTACATTTTAGTAAGCGACTTTTTAAAATTACAATCTTAAATTCTGACTCTGCTATTTCAACTGCATGTCTTTCACTGAGGTATTTAACCTCTAAAAGAAAAATTCTCTAAGAATAAATTGAAGCACCTCTATCCAATCAGTTTTAAGGTATAATGAAAAAATATGTGTGGTCTTTGGATACGTGTAACTGCTTTGTAAAATGTAATTTCCTTATTCAAAGAAACAAAGATAGGCTCTCTTAAACTCTAATTTAATGATTAAAATTTCTCCCTATGAACATGTTCTCAAATTGAGACTTGAAAATAATGAAATGAGAATATAGAATATATCCTATTTTATCCTTAACCTGCATGAATACATGATACAGCACCTTATGTCCTAACTCACTCAAGACAAATACATACATGCATATGTGAACAAGTATAACTGGATTGTTCTACAATATATACATTCCTAAATAAGTAACTGTATTTTACTATGAGTTAATAAAATTTCTTTTAAAATAAAATTTGTATAGCAATAATGATATATTTAAAACATTTTATACTATTAATACTGTTTCAATATTGTTTAAATGATTTACAGGTCAACATAGGGAATTCATAATTATATGAATAAAGCACTAGTTAAGCTTCAAATTTAAAGACCCGAAAGACTCATTTCTTTATCACAAGAAATGAAACACAGTTTGTAAGAAAAGTATGTTTCATCCATATCTGGTGTCCCTAGTTGCTTGCCTATGTCTCGAATTCATTGTATGTCAAACCCCACGTGGTGTGCATGTGGTGTGTACGTGTGTGTGTGTGTGTGTGTGTGTGTGTGTGTGTGTGCGTAAAAGAGTCTTTGAAGGTTGATCGACCTACATATAAACCTCTGCTATGAACAAGCTAAATACCAAGTCATTTTGATTTACTTTCTTTATTGTAAAACAGGAAATCCAGTTCAGAATCTTTGTGAAAATAAAAATTTAGATAATTCATGTAATGAGTTTAGAATAGTGCCTCAGTACGTCAAGTGCTAAATAAATGTTTAAACATTTTAGCATTTTATTTTCATTACTGTCATTTAAATTTTCCATAGGAGATTAGTTATTTATGACTAGTTCCTACAAACTGACCTGCAAAACAACAACAAAAAAATGTCGATATTACTAAATCTGAGCCATCTATAAATACCAATAGCAAGAAATCACAAGCCCATATATACAGTAGTTTTAAAGAGCATACCATATCCTACTGTAGAAAGACCCAAGTGTTTCATTCTATTTTTCACAAGTTCAGCAAGTTCTTGTCTTTCTGACCTCCTGTAGAGGTTCAGTCGCTGCTGGGTTATTTTTTCAGCTGTTTTACCAGAGTGCTTTGGACCTTTCCTGCTCAGTCTTCGAGCCCACTGCATGCTCTTTCTCCTCAGCAAGGGATGATCTGACTGGTCACTGGAGGTCGAGTTGCGGTGGTTGCTACGGTGGTGCCCTTGCTCTTTGGAGTCTTTGGTATCTTCCCACTCTTCCACACTAATAGATATTTGAGACTTTAAAGAGAAGATATTAATAATTAGATATTTAAGGAGCAACTGTAACTTGGGGTTGAAATAATATTCATTTGCAAAAATGTCATAGTTGTCACAGTTGCATTATTGCTTACGAGTTTCCATAGAAAGAGCAAAATCATAATCTTTGATTCTAATCATCTGCTAATAAAAATATCAAAGAATGTAATACTCTGAACTTGTATATGAACCCAGTAAGATATTTGCATCTTTCTATGAAAGTTTTTATGCAAATATTTAATTTTTATGTATAAGAATTTTAAAATAAAATGTTTACTAGTATACATGGTTGAAACACAGAAAAAGAGTAGACATTTTATAATTTCATTCAAATAAAGTCCATGCTATTCTTTCCCAAATACACTTTTATTATTTTTCATGCAAATTAAAAATTTATGGTGAAAAATGTTATTTTTGTAATTAATGATATTTTAAAAATTTTATACTATTGCTCTTCCCAAATCTGACACTAGAATGCACTTTATAAAATGTGACTATTTTTTAACTCTCTCATATGTTCCAGAAGATATAAAAAACCATTTTTAATTCATGCACTCATAATACATCACAAAAAATGCTTTTCAGATTAAGATATTAAAATATATTTCAAGAACTATCCTAATTTAAAAGGTGGTATAAAGATTAATGTTTCACAAACATATTGTAGAATCACAATTAAATTTTAAACCAAGCTAGTCTGTATACCAGAGGAAATCAGTGAAGACTCACAGAGTCAATTCTGAGTGTCTTGCTACAGAATATAATTTCTGCCAGAAGAATCTCTTCTCTAATTAGAAGCTCTTCACAAGTAAGTTTGTTTCAATAATATTGCTGCTTTTGTTACCAAGGAGTCATATGAAACGCAACACTCATCAGAGCAGAAAGTCTTACTTTCTAGAAACACGTACATGCAAAGAAACAGCTTTCTGAATTTCCTCGTACAAACTTAACAGCAGCAATTATTAATTTGTTAAAAACTTCCCTTCTATGGATGGAAGCTTGCTCTTAGGTTAGAACATGCATGTATTGCTGGCTTTCAAAGTAATATAATTTAAATTACCAATTTATGTAAGGTCAGCAAGTAGACCCAAAATAATCATTTAGATGTGAATATACATTATGGAGTCTCATTCATAGCTTATATACATCTCTCAGAACAAGCTAGGCAATTATTACACACAATTTCAACCAAATATTCATTTTTATTTCTGTTACAGAGGAGTATTGTATTAGAGAGACTTCAAAATTCATTTACCTAACTTTCATATCTCCATGATAACATAATTTGATTTAAAAATTAGAAACTATATTTTACCTATCAGAACTTAACACAGAAGCAATAAATTTTAGACACTATGATCTTGCAATGAGTACCTCTGTAGATCTTAAATTATCCTATTCTCACCTATCTGATAATATATTGTAAATCTTTTGTGGGAGTAAAGGCACAAAGGGAATAAACATGTCTATTACCAATGAAGAATACCAGCCTTGTTCATTAATTTATGCATACTTGCAGTAGAAATGAAAATATATGAATGTGTTCATGTCATTCATGTTTGCTCATGTTTGTGTAGTTAAAACTGTACTATTAATTTTATTTGAAGTAATCCCTGTGATTATCTATAGTCATACATAGCTCTAATAGTTTGATTTCTTACAAATGTATAAAAAGTAATTGATCAAGATCAAATGGTCAAATGTTGAATTCATGTAATGTCACTAATAATTCAAGTTGTGGAATATGAAGATAATAAGTATTCAGGGGGAAATTGAGAATTTATTTCTCTTTCAAGTAAAGTTTGAAAAGTCTTCCTTTGCAAATGCTTACCCAGATCATGTGCATCAAGGACTACATAAAGGACACAGATAAAATTTAACCTGAAGTTAATGTAGACATTAATGAAATAAATTAAATGTGGTTTTTGTCATTATTTTGAAATCTTTAAGGAAGGAAATATCATTCTCTACATGAAAAAGTCATGAAAAATAATGTCCCTTATTTTTCAATTATTTTATAAAATAAGTAATATCTCTGTGTAAATTCCATGTTAACTGTTGAAAAAGAATAAGAATCTGGGAATTAATTTTAAGAACTCTAAAGCCAAAATTCATAAATTCCTTTCCACATGTTTAGAATTTACCTTTCTGTCTCCATCCTTCCAGCATCACATAATGAAAACTACATGAAAATTTTGTATTTTAAAATATCCAAATTTGAATGAAAAATATTTCCCAATTTTATTATTACAACAAAACATGTAATATTCTTAAAAGATCATAGTAATCCTCATCACCTAATTTATGGAAGCCTTATAAAAATTGATATATACCTTCTTATATAAAGAATATTTCAGCTTTAACTTCCACATGTAATAATAATGATGATTTTATATATTAGAAAGAGCTATTATCTATAACATACTGAATGTGAATGAATGCATTTTAAAGGGGCTCATTTAAATTTTAATTTCTGGATGTCATTTCCATTTTAGTTTTAACTCCATTGGGTTTCAAACACAGCTCTATGACCCAACAGAAAAAGAATAGTACAAGGATTACAGTAGTCTCTTGACCTGAGAACCTGTTCTTGAGCTGAGAGTCAGAATGATTGGTTCAATTTGAAAGTCTTGGCATCAGATAGCCCTACATTTAAATAGTTTTTATCACTTGAAAGCTTTTAATTTTTGGTTATATAATTTAAACTTTCTAAGATCATTTCAGTCTGCCTGTATGTAAAAAGTAATCATTGTGTTATTATTGTGCTTCCAAATTGTTCTGATAGCAAAGTGATAACACGTGCAAGGTGTGTGACATTGTGCCTGACTTACAAAATGCTAAATAAACATTGCTTAACAGTATTGTTTGTGACCTTGCATGAAAGAAGATCAAAAAGAAGAGAAGAAAATAATAATAATGAGAGGCAGGAAAAGTGAAAAGTGGGTATTAAAAGTAGAAGTAATGACTTGTGTTTTGATGCCATTTTCCGTGTCACATTATATTTTATAAGAAATCAGAGCACTATAAAATTCTTGAGAATAAAACTTTCTTTCAAGTTCAAGGGATCTACAGAGGATAGAAGGTATTTAAAGCAAAAGTAGATGATTATTATTCTGCATCGTTTCTATGAATTATTCTTTATTATTTTTATGAACACTTAGAAGACTTAGCTTGTTTTTTCAAAAATTTTATAGTCAGAAGCACAATATAATCATTAACTTGATAAACCAAAATTTAATGGTAATGAAAAAAATATATTTGCATACTTCTTGGCAATATTTCTCAGAATACATATGCTCATATTTGGGGTATATATATAAATATTACTGTTCAATTGAAAAATGAAAAAATAATATAGATATACCAAAATTTTATTACAAATTTAAAAGGACACTTATAAAGAGTATATACTTTTCCATCTATTTAAGAAATTTAATTTAATTGAAAGAAGGCTGAAAGTATCTCTTTACAAGTATAAGAGCTAATCTTTTTTGAGCTAATCTTTTTAAATAATAAAATATTACTTATATCTAGCAAGTGGATTACTTTGATAGTATCACAAAAGAAAACATCAGACTCACAAAATATACACATTAGTATCCGATATTTTACACATATGTATACACCATTCAAAATCCTTCAATTTCCTTTCAGCTGTTTTACTCAGCAGTAATTAATGTCACAGGTTACTGTACAATGTATGGGAAAAAGTGATATTTTAAAATAAATCAATTCAACTAATTTGTAAGTGTCCTTTATAATAAGCATTCATGACTCTGTTGACAGTTTTACAGGTATCACAACACTTTAATGTGATGCTATCTGATTTATGATTGAAGACACTTAGAACTGCTACTAAAGAAAAACAACAAAATTAAATAACTTTGGAAGCGTTAAATTAACATTTGATAAGAATTATTATGTTTTTATTAAAGAATCAAATGATAGGGCTGGGGATTTAGCTCAGCGGCATAAGCGCCTGCCTTGCAAGCAGGCAGTCGTGAGTTCAATCCCCGGTACCGATAAAAAAGAAAAAGACAAAAAAAAGAATTAAATGATAAGAATATTTGAAGTGACAGAGGGAGGTGGGAGAGGGTGGAGAACCATGGAATGAAAAAAGATTAAGCTATGATATATACATGGATCAATACCCACCATGAATGTAATACTTATGTACTACAAATACATATTACAGTAATAAAAATAAAAAAGAATATTGGACAGATTATCTAAATTTAAAAGTACATGTATCATGAGTACTGACTCTTTGTGAACTAGAAATTGTTATTGTAAAAATTTAACCAAAATATATTTCCCCAATTTCCAAAAGCTCTTTGTGCACTATAAATTGTTATTGTAAAAACTTAACAAAATATATTTCATCAATTTCCAAAAGCTCAGTCTGATATATTTGGGCTATAATCTAAGCCAAAATAGAAAACATCAAGTTACATTAAAATATATTGCCTATTTTTATTATATTTTTTTCTGTGTTTGTGTCTGCCAATTCATTAAAGTAGGTAGCTTTATCTATAGCGTTGAGGTTTCCCTAGTAGGTGTCAGTTCTTCAGGAAAATAATACAAAGAATTAATAACTGGGATCTCATCCTACTAAAAATCTTTTGTACAACAAAAGAAACTACCAACAGAGTGACAAGACAACCCACAGGGTAGGAAAATTATAAACAGGTGTCCCTTAGACTAAAGATAACAAATGCTGGTGGAAATACAGGGCAAAGGAACCTTCTCCACTGTTGATGAGAGTGTAGACTGGTGCAGTTATTGTGAAAATCAGTATGGAGATTCTGCAAAAAACTAGAATTAGAGGTCTCATTTGACTCAGCTATTCCCCTTCTGAGTATCCTCCCAGAAGAATTAAAAATACCACAGTGATATATGTGCACCCATATTTATAGAAGCACATTTTATAATAATGAAATCAACCCTAAAGCGTATCAACTGAGGAGACAAAAAATATGTGT